TTCCAAATGAATTGTGTTTGTATGTATGTGTGTGTGGACAGAACTCATCTAACAGTTTCTAATGTACACAAAGAATATTATTAATGGAAGAGAATTTATTATAATAAAGGTTTTTAATTTACATTCTGGTGACATGACAACTAAACGTCATTACTGTTTAACCAACATTAAAAGATTCGTACTACCACTACTCTAGCCATTAACAAACAGTATGGCGTCAAAAGGTTTGAGGTTTAAAATTACCATCACTGTGCTAAACCATTTCTAAATAACATTATTAGGCTTAACGATAAGACCATTTTAAATAATATTGGATTAGTAGACTAGAGACCGGAGACTGTCGACTCGAACGCATCTAGCCGTGACCCAGGGTTTTGCTTCACGTTTATTCAGCACTCATTATATTAATAGGATTGTTAAGTGTACTTTGTTGATCATGAAATGGTTCTAGGACAAATGACACGGTCACTGGTCGATGCGGTATTCTCACACAAAAAATACTCATAAAGTTCGTTAGTCAGACAATATGTAGAAGTCACAAATAGGTATGCATCTAGATCCAATAGAAAGTACAAGTCAGTGACTTCTAATCATGTCATTCAAAAAGAAAATCCCTTCTTTATTGACTTTTAGGACTCTGGAATATATTCCGGTTGAAAGATAAGCGGAAATTCTCATCCTTAACAAGTCCTACTCAGTTACGTTCAGTCTTTTCTACTTCCGAAGAGTTTTAAGCGAATATTAAATTATCAGGTGTTTATAATTTATCAGAGAGACTGAAACCTGCATTTTGCTTCCATAAAACGAATCTTCAGCTGATTTCTGTAATGGTGGCAAATTCCAGACCTCGGTTATCTATTTCTCCATTTGCAAACTAGGCAGTTAAAGGTGACAGTTCATCACAGTGTGCACTAGAAACCCAGAATATTTGCATTCTAACTGGAGTGGACAAGCGGCTTAGTAAAGGAATGTTTATCTGGAATTTGGTATATGTGTATTAGCGAAATTAAGTACACCCTATCTCCAGTTGTCATTTGCACAGTTCTTCCGTGTCGCGCCACTTCTACCCTTCGTTTTCGTGTTTCTTTGTCTTCTTTTCGTGTCTCCCAAGCTTTGCCACAACTCTGAATCATTTGCTCTCCTTGACGTCAAATCTATCTCCCTGCTATTCGATATTTTTATGCTGATGAACGTCTCTTTATGCATACTACTGATAAATCTTAATAGTAGCACACGCCACAAAATCACAATATATATGATCTGCTTCATACTCATAAATGACCATCAAGGAATCAAGCACAACTGCATGATGATATGCACTGTTGAGTGATGTGACCAACTGGGAGACACTGACGTCCAACAAAAGTGCTCGCTATCAAGATCGAAGCAACTTAATCTCCAGGTGGCTAAGGTGAGTTAAAGAGGGTCACTGCATACAATTTCACTTCCAGACGACAGAAACATCCCATTGTTGTTCAGACCACTTGGATATGATTAGCAAACAGTACTGGTTAGCGTGAGTGATTTTCATCACATACGAGTCTGTTGTACTCGGAGACACTGCAAACTCTCCTAAATATTCTGCTTTATACTTGTGAGTTGATCTGCCTCGAGCACGTGCTTCCATTGTACAAATATTCATTTTTGCTATTATTCAAAGCTAAGATAATAAAAAAGTTAGTTTCCCAGAGTGCCTAATTATGACATTCAGAAGTTATCAATAATTTGTGTGGTGACTATTGGTCAAATGTATTCCTGAAAATTTCGACTCTTTTTTAACACTATTTCAAACGACTGTCTGATTACAACAATATCGACAATAGTGTGATGGTTACGACTACCAGAATTCTTAAGGTAGTTCATGATGGACTCCCGAAAGAAAAGTCAGGAAATGATGCCTAGAAAAGCAATAAAATCAGAATAAATTCAACCTTCACGACTTAGCGGAAGCGATAAAAGTGGATATAGATGAATGACTGCAATCTGTCGTAAGTTAACGAGGATACGCTCTCATAAATTTTTATCAGCCCAAATGTAAGTCCTAGAAGTAGCTCAGTAGTCACAAAGTCTTTATGAAAGCATAAGTTAATGAGTTTTACCTCATAAAACAGGGCATATTGTTGAGAATTACAAAATTTGATTGAAAGACAGTGAAATATCCTGTGACAATGTAAGTCATTCTGGCAAGGCAAATATTTACACCGTATGTTTCTACTACTTCACAATGGTAAGTAGTATGATCAATACAGTTACAAATAAGCAGCATATTTCGGTGCGAAATTTTCAGAAAATATGAAAAATAGTAATGTAAAGTATTACAGATAATTTGGGCAAACTAGATTCAAGTGCTAGTGCTAAAACCAGCATAAATGAAACACCAAACAAGAATCTTGAGTAGGAAGAAATAGGCATCTTTACCACTACTAGTAGTCACTTTCAGGATGAAAACAACTTAGAACCTCGCGCACAAATAGCTCATATATCAAAATAGAAATATTAGTTTACCTCTGTAAACTAATTACGCAGAAAATTAAAGGTCCCAATAACTCTTCAAAGGTTCATAAGTAAATCATGGAATATAAACATTTACATTTTTAAGAAACTCTTTTAGATGTAATTGGGAAATCTGTTCATTCCTTTCTTGTCCTTTGTTATTTTTTCTTTCGTGTTCAACATTATACTACTCACCACTAGTAGGTAATATGAGTTATATTTGTTACTCCATAACAATGACTTCCCTTTGCTGTTCAAATTTAACTCACTTAATTAATGACCTAAAACTTCACTTGAGGTATAGCAATCATTTTCTCATAGGTAAACATTATTTCCTGTATTTGCTTTACTTATAATCCCTTCTCTGTTGAACATCCCCGTTCGAATTCCTTTATTCCCTGTCTGCCGTTCGCTTGATGTTTAATCTACACGCAGATCCCCTTCGATACAGCTTCCCTGTTTTCCTTATTGACACACAGTGACTGTGTATTTGACAGCATTCAGCCAAAGATGTCTCACAATTTTGGGGTTTGTATGTTATATTTCATTTTTTCATGTATAATATAGCACTGCTGTTTCCTAAACAAATTGTGTTATTCTGGATTTCACTCGTCATTCAGCGAGTGGTTTAATCAATCGACTGGAATGGTTGTTTCCGATTTCTTAGAAGACACCTACGAATCAGATCCACATGTGTAGAACCATTTCATGCTTAAATTGAATACCCTAGTGACCTAATTAATGGCTTTAATCTGATTCTTTTGTCTTAATACCTCACCTAATTGGTCTCCGTCTATTATGAATTTCCTATATTGAATGCTTATGTTTTCACAAAAGTTCCCTTTAGTTCCACAGTGTCTTTATTATAATTCCTAATACAGTTTGTAATTATCTAAATTGTGGTGATATAACCTGCCATTACGTCATCCGTTTCTGATTATCTAGTCTATCAAACTCAACTGTTCTGTACGGGTGATAAGCTCTATCAATTTATAGGATGGAAATCTAAGAGACTGTCTATTCCTTTGTTAATATCAGTGCAATCGAAGATGGACGTTTCGTCCTAAGTGTGGGACTTACTAACTCAATGGACCTCAATCTCAGTAGGTAATATCGTCCCCATTAAGACTGAGGCCCAACAGTCTCACAGTTAAGCAGTCTGGTTAATACAACTTCGAATGGGAACAAATTCACACCTATCAAAGGTTACTAATGTTTATGCAAATAAACGGCGTCCTTTGCCTGTTAAAGTTGTAAATAAAATCTGAGAAACATAGAAAACAGAAGATTCAGGAATGACGGGTGAGACAACTTTTTTACAAACCTTCTTCGAATTCTAGTCTTTTTTGTCTATTAGAGAAAACGAATTCTTAGAAGAAGAGGTAGGGAGAAAGATACTGAATGAGTAGACTGGAACCACAAGGATTTGTATGAAATACACTTACGTAATTAAAATCAGTGAATAGTCTTCTGCATCGAACTCACCAACAGCAAGCAACAAATAGTCAGTTTTGCATAAATTAGTTTGCGTGAACACCAATTCGGTCATTACCATATCTAGCATTTATGCACTACTGTGAAAGACAAACCAAAAGATTGAGTTAATTTTTACGCAACGGATGCATTCATTAACTCATTAACCAGAAATGAATGAAAGAGAATACAGAGTCTGTGAGTAGTAAACAGGAAAGGGAAAGTTCAGTCTACATGGATAAGTACTGGCTAAAACTAACCTTAGATGTTAGAGTTCATTGACATAGGGTCGGGTCCCAGTGGTTGAATGGTCTACCAGCTCATCTTGTAACCAGAAGGTCCTGGGTACGAACCCTGATGGTTGTGTACTGATGAAGAGTCCCAAACTAGAACGAAACAGCTGTCCAGTACTCCATTCAGGTTTCCCCATGGTTGTCTAACCGATGTCGGCTCGTGATGAAATCCTGTAACCAATCAATCGAATCCCTACAAACCAATACTTGAAAACTTTAATAAACTTTTACCAGTCAAAGACACGTGGACTTGTATTCACGAAAGGCTTTAACCTGTAGGTCTGAACGATTCATTTTCCAATAGTTGTTTAGATGATTGAAGCATTGTGTCATTTATAAATGTTTTGGTAGACAGACAGTAATATTCAATCCTTCACACCTGGTGCTGTTTACTGCCCCCTCTACCTGAATCTAACCTGCTCACTGAATTGCATTTTACCATACGTGTCTGTAAGATGTGAATTCAAAGGCATTACCACTGACAAGGCTGTTTACTTCGTTAGCCAATCAAGTGCTAAATATATATGACGCATTAATAAATCTGATTGGTTAACACAGCAAACGACCTTGCTGTTACTAATGCCTACCCATCTGTAGATTTAAAACAACTCTGCGTAAGGAAAAAAAATAACACCTTACCAATAGTTAACGTGCGGTACTATCGTAATGGTTTTAAACTATTAATTCGAAATGTAATCCGGCGGAATAAAATTTCCTCTTCCGTTTTCTTTTTACTTTTAGATTTGAACAAACGTTTTGTAAAACACCCAGAATCGACACGAATACCGCTTGGATGGACTGTAGAATTTACTTGTGAACCACCTGATGGCAGACCAATACCAAAGGTTGGTTTTATAATGTTTCTGACTACAAATGAATTTATTAAATATGAAAACTTATTTGATGACATTAAGAATAATTTGTTTTAAATAAGTGTGAATATAATATCACTCAGATCGATTTACGGGGCAATTTCAAGAATTAGATATTATAGAGAAGATTTGTAGCTCAGGTGGACGATTTTGATGTGGTTTTGTTCTCTGAGCTGGATGGTTAGTTTGCGAAGCTTTCATCACCTTACTGGGTAACATCTTCAGCGCATACTTCAATTTGAAGTGAGCTTTTAGATTTCTCCACGAGTTTATTAATCATCTCTCCTGGTGACCTTGGACGTGATTGGTTGTGTGTGTGTTTTCACACCTTCTAGGTTATTTGTATTGGAACTGGTTGTTTCTTTGGCTTGAATTTTGACCCTTTGTCTGTGAAGTTTCCTTCTTATTGGTTGATAAATTTTGTCTATGTCGATGTGTCTATTGATTGATGATCCACTGGAATGCCAAGCTTCTAAAAATTCTCTAGCATTCTTGTTATTTCCTTTGTCTAATATTTGAACGTTGTCCCAGTCGAATTGATGTCCGTAGTTGTCTGTGTGTAGTGAAATGAGGGAGTGGATATCATGTCTTTTGACGGCTAGCTTATGTTCGTGGATACGAAGACGAAGGGGACGTCCACTTTGGCCGATGTAGTGTTTTTCGCAGTTGTTACAGTTTATTTTGTAGATGATGTTGGTTTTATCTTCTTTCGCTGTTGAGTCTTTTGGTTGACATAGAATTGAGTGAAGCGACTTTGTTGGTTTGTGTACGACGTCAACTCCTAAAGGTTTGAAGAGTCTTGTAGTGATTTCTGAGATATCTTTTATATATGGTAAGGCAATTTTCTTTGTGTTCTCCTTGGTGGCTTTTGCTTTGGTAGGTTGGCTTGGGGGTATATGTCTCTTGATGAAATTCCTCTTGATGAAATTCTTCCAAAAGAATGGATATCCACGGAATTTCATCAAGAGACATATACCCCCAAGCCAACCTACCAAAGCAAAAGCCACCAAGGAGAACACAAAGAAAATTGCCTTACCATATATAAAAGATATCTCAGAAATCACTACAAGACTCTTCAAACCTTTAGGAGTTGACGTCGTACACAAACCAACAAAGTCGCTTCACTCAATTCTATGTCAACCAAAAGACTCAACAGCGAAAGAAGATAAAACCAACATCATCTACAAAATAAACTGTAACAACTGCGAAAAACACTACATCGGCCAAAGTGGACGTCCCCTTCGTCTTCGTATCCACGAACATAAGCTAGCCGTCAAAAGACATGATATCCACTCCCTCATTTCACTACACACAGACAACTACGGACATCAATTCGACTGGGACAACGTTCAAATATTAGACAAAGGAAATAACAAGAATGCTAGAGAATTTTTAGAAGCTTGGCATTCCAGTGGATCATCAATCAATAGACACATCGACATAGACAAAATTTATCAACCAATAAGAAGGAAACTTCACAGACAAAGGGTCAAAATTCAAGCCAAAGAAACAACCAGTTCCAATACAAATAACCTAGAAGGTGTGAAAACACACACACAACCAATCACGTCCAAGGTCACCAGGAGAGATGATTAATAAACTCGTGGAGAAATCTAAAAGCTCACTTCAAATTGAAGTATGCGCTGAAGATGTCACCCAGTAAGGTGATGAAAGCTTCGCAAACTAACCATCCAGCTCAGAGAACAAAACCACATCAAAATTTCAAGAATTCTGAAAGTACTTCTCATCACAAATAAAAGACTACCAGTGCAACTTGTTACAATTTCTTGTAGTGAAGTGCACAGGGACTGAGCTGGACAACTGAATAACCAACCACTTAGTACATTCCTTGAAGATTTCAATTTTTTGTCTGTAAAACTTTGAAGGATTAAAATGACTTCTAAATACTTTTCATTACTAACGGACTTTAACTGGGAATCCTCCATAAAACTAAGGAGCAATTCAATATATATTTTTCCTAATTATGAACTCTTCAAGAGTGCATCCAAGACCTTACAATGAGTCGACTATATATCACCATTAAACCAGTAAGTCAGAATAAAATAATCCATGATTTCTAACCTCTATCAATTGGTTATGTAACTCATAAAATACACAAAATATCTCTTCCTTAAGTGTCGAGACTAGATCTTGTCTTCGTAATTTCAAATAATTTCCATCATGACTTGTAAGATACTAGAAACTAGGAATCCTAGTTGCAAATAAGCCCTCTTATTTGATGCCGATCAAAACATCTAGCAAACGTCTTCGTGACTATCACATTTTTAGGCAGGTAAATCACATGTTATTTCCTCAACACAAAAAAATAGCACAACCTGAATATCACTAAATTACGGGAATGTTTAAGGATTTACTGGTTTCACCGGTTTTTTACACAAAATTATTATGGACTACTCTGAAATTCATGTGACTGACTTTAATAACCATGATAATACAACAGTTTTTGAAATAAATGAGAAAAAAAATTCGTAGACCAGGATGAAAATGTGACTTCTTAACGATGTTCATGTTGAATATGCACCAAGTCTAGGGATGAAACGGCCACCCTCAAAAATTCAACTTGAAAAATATGGCCAAGAGGGTAGAGAAGAATTCTTCTCTATCGGTTAACAAGAAGCCTATGTATTATTATTATATTATTGTTCTCTTGGGTTCCTAGTGGAACATAGGGCTTCAGCACGTCTCCACTTGCCTCTGTCTTCCTTCTTCTGTACTTTTCACCTGCATCCATGTTAGTTAGTCCATACTGTTTCAACTCCTTTTCACACGATCTCCCCATGTCACCCCTTGCACTGACGTTCCACACGCCACTCCTCTTTCGGATTCCACTCGAGATATGGCCTGACGCGCGATGTCACCAACCGGCCTCCTCAGCCACGAGCGTCCAATCCATCTCCACTTTCTCCTGCATATGTGTTGGGCGGCGATTGGTTCTTGTTTTGTTTCTTCCCATAGTTTCTTGTTGGTGATTCTTTCTGACCCGGCAATCTGATCTTCAGTATAGAGCCAACGAAGACAGTTGTTGGTTGATAAAGGTGTGCAACAGGCTGTTGGAAATATTCTTTGTGACCCACCCGCCAAGTTTCTGATCCGTATAGAAGAACTGACTGACTTGAAGTGTGTATTGAAAATCCTACCGAATTTTGTTGTTGATGCTGAGTGACGAAGATTTCCAGATAAGATTGGTTTCAGGTTGACGAATGTGTTCCTCGCCTTCCCGATTCTCGCTCGATTTGATATCCTCGTCCGTTCCGACTTCCTGTAGTTGAGACAATGCTTCCTAGATAAGTGAATGAAGTGACCTCTTTCAAATCCCTCCCGTTGATCGTGATTGGCGCTGGATGTTGCTGTTGTTGTTGTTGGCTGGTTATTTTCAGAACCTTCTTCGGGTCATGATGTGGACATCTCGAAATCCTTTAAAATTATCAAAATATAAAATAATTCAGTCCTCGTCGAGTATACCAAAGCAATCGCTATCAAACGCCTGAAACCCGATTTATGTGTTCAGAAAGAAGCAGTTATCAGTCTATTTTTGCCCTGGTAACTGGATGTCTTTATTCTCCATCTTATTTGATTACACAACCTTTGGCTTTGACCTTATCCCCTTTGATACAGTGTAACTCTCCTTGTCTCTTGTTTCTATTATTTGAGTTGGACTCAACACATTGTTACTCATCTTTTCATAACCTCCGTCTTGTCTATGTTTACATGGAGTCCTGTCTTTGCTGCCTATCTATAAAAGACTACAATTCCAAGGTGATGTACTAGATGAAATAATAATAAGCAACAAATCGAGAAAATCGATCGGAAGAATATTTAATGCAACTAGACTGTAGCTTGTATTTTCCACACAACCAGTTGTGAGTTAGGAGCTAGCCACCTCTTACTGTACCCATCAATTCTATGGTGCCAGTTATATTGTCCTCTGTTCCGGCAACTTAATTTTCACAGGATTTCATCATGAGTTCACATCAGTAAGAGAACCACTGGAGAGCCTGCAGGGAGTACTGGACAGCCAATTGTTTCGTCCTAGTTTGGGACTCTTCAAAGTATGAACTCAGGAGTCGAGTTCAAACCAAGGACCTTCTCTTGTTAGTGACAATAATCCTTTGGAATAATGGAGAAGACTTCTAGTCCAAGTGAATGATTTTGACTTAGTTGTGTTCTCTAAGCTGGTTGATTTAACTGCGAAGCTTTTGGTCTACAGAGGTGATGTGTTTTCTAAATGCTGGCTGATTCACTTGAGTACCAGACACACAGAATTCCTCTAGCATTATTTTTGATGTTTCCTGTATTTAAAATTTCAACATTATGCCAATTAAACTGGTGTCCGTAATTATCTACATCCACTGATGAGAAGGAATGTATATAGTGTCTGTTTACAGCTAAATAAAAATATCACATATAAAAGATATCTCCGAAATTACAGCCAGAATATTAAGATCATTTGAAATAGATATACCATAATAGCCAGCAAAATCACTTCATCCGTAATGTGTGAACCGAAAGATCCAACAAGAAAAGAAGATAAAATTAATACCATTTACAAAATAAACTGAGTGGATCAACTGCAATAAATATTATATCGGGCAAAGTGGACATTGCCTTCGTGTCCGAATTCAGGAACATAATTCAGCTGTGAAAAGGCATGATATATATTCTTTCATTTCAATGCATGTAGATAATTATGGACACCAATTTGATTGGGAAAGTGTAAAGGATGACAACAGAAAGTCAATCACCAAAGAAGCAGAGCAAAGAAAACACTGGGCTGAACACTTCAAAAGACTTCTAAATCGACTGCCACCTACAACACGCCCAACAATACCAACAACGGAAGCAGAACTACCAGTGAACACTGACCCCCAGACGAAATCAGAAGTCCTGAATGCCATCAAGATGCTTAAAGCTGGGAAAACACCGGGACCAGATGGAATCCCAGCAGAGGCTTTGAAAATAGACCCAGAGACAACGGCGGACTTGATGACACCACTGCTGGAGAAGGTGTGGAAAGAGGGCAAAGTACCCAAGGATTGGAAGAACGGTTACTTATTCAAACTTCCAAAGAAAGGAGACTTAAGTCAATGTAAAAACTGGCGTGGAATTATGCTTCTGTCCATTCCAAGCAAAATACTAAGTCGAATCATCCTGGAGAGAATCAAACAAGCCAATATGGATGAGAAACTTCGTCCGGAACAGGCTGGATTCAGGAGAAACAAGTCATGTATTGATCAAATCGCCACTCTATGGATCATCATTGAGCAAAGCTTGGAATGGAAGTCACCTCTCCACCTCACTCAACTTCATCGACTTTGAAAAGGCCTTCAACAGTGCGGCGTCGATCGAGAGGTGATTTGGCAACTACTTCACTACTACGGGGTGCCATCGTCAATTATACATCTCATCCAACAGTTATACGACAATGCTGCATGCCAAGTAATCCACAACGCGAAACTTACGGAAGCCTTCGAAGTGAGGACGCGAGTGAGGCAAGGCTGTCTACTATCACCAATGATTTTCCTGATTGCAATTGATTGGATAATGCGACAGACAACGGGTAATGAGGAAACAGGCATAAAATGAACTCACACAAAATCAACTTGGAGGATCTGGACTTCGCCGATGATATATATTTGTCCGATTTCCCACAAACTGGAAGATATGCAAGTGAAAAGCAACAAGCTGGCCAAAGAAGAAGCATCAAAGATAGGACTTCAGGTGAGCATAGATAAAACAGAGGTGATGAAGATTCCTGGCCAACACCAACAACAACAACAACAACAACAGACAACAATCAGCCAGCATAAGTGGGAGAAACCTGAAAGAAACAACCTCCTTTACTTACCTACTAGGGAAGCATGATTTCAACTACAGGTGGAACTGACGAGGATACCAAAGCAGCGAGGATCGGGAAAGCAAGACAAGCCTTCATTACTCTCAAGTCTGTGTGGAGGTCAACAGCACTCAGCATGAAAATGAAAGTAAGATCCAGATTTTCAACTCCAATGTGAAGTCAGTGCCACTTACTATACGGATCAGAGGCTTGGATATCACGTCATAAAGAACATCTCAAACAAACTTCAGACCTTCATTAACAGTTGTCTTCGCTCAATACTCAAGATCAGATGGCCGGCCAGAAAAGATAAGCAACAGGGATCTCTGGCAATGAGTGAACCAACTCAGCAGGAACCGATTGTGCAACAAATAGGCAGGAAGAAATGGAGATGGATTGGCCATGCTCTGAGGAAACCATCAAGTGACATCACTAGACAAGCTATTGCTCGAGTGGAACCCGAAAGGGAAGTGGCGAGTTGGTCGTCAGTACGAGGATGGCTTGGAGGAGGTCATGTGAAGAGGAGACGAAAGCGTGTGGGCAGACTTGGAGTCAGGTGAAAACTCTAACAGAGAACCGAACGCAATGGAGACGCACGGCTGAAACCTTATGTTCTTCTAGGAATTAAGGGATATAATAATAAATAATAATAACAAAAATTAAATATTCACATGACAAGAAAGTTCGAATTCCAAGGATTCAGACGAGCTCATTTTGTACTGAAACCTATGCTGAAGATGTTGTCTAGAAAAACGAGGAAAGCTTCGTAATTAAACCAAGTAACTGAGAGAATACAACTAATTCAAAAATAATACTTTATAATGGCCATATAACTGTTGAAGCATATAAAGTAGTTATCGGAAAAAGATTCTTTGTTCAATCAGTAATTCTCTCAAGATGTGAAAATTTATATTTTTAAAGTCTCGAAGAAAACATAATTTTCATATATGTCTACTTCTCATTCGGTGCCCTATTATTGTGGAACTATTCGGTCAAATCTTGGTCACAGTTCACACAGGTCTTTCATGAAAATTATCGAAAATACTAGCAGACAGTTTTTCAGCGTTTCAAGGGAAAAAAATCTCCTCAGAAATCCACAGGTTATCACCTAGAAGTCAATGATTGACTGATATTACCTCTTGAAGTCGTAATACCGTAGTCCCAATGGTACTTCATTTATTTCTGTATTTCCTGTAATTCACATTGATTCACTTGCATTGGCACAAAGACAGCAAACTCCTATTCCATCATAAAACTGTTTAAGGGGGATAGTAGTATCCTAGGGATGCAAAAAAATATCTTTCGAAATTTTTAAGCATTCTATTTACGTTTACCTGACGTACGTTCGGAGAGATTTTTGGAAAATTTATATACTACTGAAAATTAGTAAGTAGCCAGATGTGTTTTTGAAACATTTTAATGTTCATTCAGTTCGATTTACAATTTCATTACTATTCAGGAAGCTTTCTATTATTAATATTAGTTACATAAAATCTACTTCACTCCTGAAAACGTAGGTTTATTGGATGAAAAATGGGCGTAAAATTCAAACCGTTAACTCAGAAAATCGTATAACAGTGTCTGAAGTGAACTTAGCATCACCGGCAAGTGGTATTCCAAATTATCAAGTAACAAACTCCGACGTAAACGTTAACTACTCAGGACCAATGAGTCGCTTAACCATACGCAATACACATATTCCTGATGAAGGTTTTTATACATGCGTAGTGGAAAATCAAGCTGGACGACGTGTCTCATCAAATGCTCAGCTTACAATACACAGTAAGTGTCATTATTCAATTTATTATTCACTGAAGTGATCCAGTTTATAGGAGGTCAGTCTTGATTGGTAATGATTATAGCGACATGAAAATTTGAACAGGACATATAAGATAAGTAGATCAACTGGTCTACAGTCATCCTTCAACCAAACCAGGGCAAAATGAGGTGTAAACATTGGTTTTCTAACTGTAATGAGGTTGAAAATTCTCTCTTTAATCTAAAATATGGCAAGGTAACATAATCTGATAGTTTGATTCTATAGGGACTTAAGAATGGTTGTGATGTTATATTGGCCAAATTAACTACGATATCGGTCAGTGATTGTGAATCCTAGGCAGCTCTGGCAAACAGATGTGGATCTTCTCCAAGTCTGAAGGAGAGAAAATTAATCTTTTGTTTAATGAACATACAGGGATCAGCTTGATTAATATAATGTCTAGGACCCATGAGTCTGTAACCCCACGAACACATAGGAAAAACAAAGCTGGGAAAGCCAAGCAGTATTAAGTCCAGGACTAGAATGAACTGCTCTAATCTTCACCACTTTAAAGGTCTTGAAACAGAGGGTCTTCAATTCGCTTTATTTGCTGTCTTGAATACGACGTTTGACTCAACCGATCGAAAGATTTTATGTCAGTGTCTGGACAAGAATAGAATACCGAGGGAGTATGTTGTGTTAATAACAGCACTCTACTCGGATTCATTCAGCCATGCAATAGATTTTGGGGAGTTATGAACTGAAAAAAAACACTAACCAGTGGTGTCCAGTGAGTATATTCAGTGTCACTACTGTCACTTAAATTCACTGTGGATTTGATGGTGAAATATGACTCCAGTTATCTTTAATTTCAGACCTTCAGCAGTTGGTATGTTACAAAGTAAACATCTCATCGAAGAACACTCTGATGAGTGAAAAATGGGATACCCTGATTAAAAATCTAAGTATGATTAGTATGTGGTTTGCACTTGTCAAATACCAGACTAGTATGTACTGAATTCTGGCTTGATGATAAGAAGTGAAATAGTCGAATCTGTTTACTAATTTACTTACTTCAGAAATTGCATCAGTTCTAGTAGACTAAGCGCTCACAAAATCTAACCACGGACACCAAATTACTTGCCTGGCATTCACTAAATTAATCCATCTTTGGCATCATTGTGACATGTAGCGATCAATCAGTGAGTCTGTACGGCTATAGATTGTTCTTTCCTATTTTGTGATTGTCATATAAGGCCGCTTAAAGTAGAAGGCATAAAAAGATTGAAGCTTTTTTATGAGTCCTATAAATGTCCTTGTTAAGTGTGTTAACGGTAGAAGAAAAAAAGATTTGGCAAAGGAATGTTTATTTGCAATTAGTTATCTCTATATAGCCAAATCATGTACAGCTTATCTTCAACGCACAACTTGCACAGATCTTCAGTGTTGTGCTACTCCTGGCCTTCATATTGTGTCTCTCTCTCTGTGTTCCTTTCACATCTCCTACGTCTCTCCGCAATGCTGTATCATTTGCTTTCTCTCACATTAAATATATCCCTATGCTCTTTTATGTTGTTATACCAGTGAACATCTATTCATGTATGTGCTACTGATAAATCTTTTCAATAGCACAGGTCAGAAGTGGAGCAACATGTTAGGTGAGAATGGTGAGCCAGTCAATGAGGTTTTGAAGTCAAATTACTCCAACCCTTTAAGAGAAATGTTTGATGAAATAGGACTAGATAAGAAAAGAGTTGGAATCGGTCTGCCAGCAAACGTACCAGTTAATGAGATTTGGAATCTTCGAGATTCTAAGGATCAGTAGTTTGTGTGTAGATTTCTTCTAAGAAATCAGGTGCAATAATACAGCCGATTAAATTAAACCACACGCTGAATGACGAGTGAAATCCAAAAACACAAGATTTGTCCACGAAACGGCAGTGCTATAGTATACATGAAATATAATATACAAACCCCAACATTGTGAGACATCTGTGGCTGAATGCTGTCAAATACACAGTCATTGTGCGTCAGTAAGGAAAACGCTAAAGCTGTGTCAGAGGGGATCCACGTGTAGATTAAATATCGCGCGAATGGCAGACAAAGAATAAGAGGATTAGAATTGAGAATGTCGATCACAGAAGGGATTATGAATAAAGCACGTAAAGGAGATAATGTTTAACTATGAGAAAATAATTGCTATACCTCAACTGGAGATTTAATGCATTCAGTGAGTTAAATTTGAATGGCGAAGGGAAGTCATTGTTATAGAGTGACAAATATACTCATACTACCTACTAGTGGTAAGTAGTATATTGTTTAACACAAAAGAAAAACGAATAAAAGATAGATAGGAAAGGGGACTGTTGGTGAGATAGCTCAAAGTTGCTCAGAAAATGCAAACCTATCTATTCTTTTCTTGTCCCCATTCCAGTGCTAAAAGTTTTCACTCTTCACTTAACTATTCTTTAAGTCATACCCATGTTTGTCTATCTCAGTATCAGTGCAGTTTTGTTCGCCTATTTTTGTACCATTCTTTGAAGTTGAGTACATTGAACTTCTGTGCAAAGTGGTCTGTTGTTTTGTCAGCTTTTCGTCATTTTTCTTTACTAAACCATGAACAGATTAGTTTACAGCTCCATGCACTATGCTTTAATACTTACAATAATTAAGATTCTCTTTCAAAAATCAAGTGCTAGAATTTACCTGAACACTGATTGGCTTCCACTTTGTGTAAACACTTGTATCTTCCATTTTCGTTCATTCTAGCTGACGGACACTGGTCACCTTGGTCATCCTGGTCAAACTGTCCAAGCGATTGTGGAATATCTCAAATACAAACAGTACATCATCTTTCTAACCTCAGTAAGACTTTACAACCGAATGATAAGCCAAGCTGTCCTCCTCATTGTAGTCAGTTATTTGGACAACGTACAAGGTGGTGCAATGCTCCAGAACCCCATGGTGGTGGAAGAAAATGTAACGGAGAAAATGTCGAACACTTATCTTGCTATGATATATGTCTAGGTAAGAAACCTGTTTGCTGATAATGCATACTGATTAATTATGTAGTGGGAAATTACTCCATTTTTATTAGGTATCAGTTATTATCTTCAGTATTCGGCCATGTTTGAATACTGTCGGGCTTGTATGAAATCTACTATGTTTTTTATGGCCAAATCGTAAGTTAAATTTCAGTATTTTACCATCCAGTTCTGGGGAATTCAGAAGAAACTGATGTATGACACTTCTTCTGACATGTAATTTGTGACAGTCTAACTCGAGTATAGCAAGACAACTCTTGACTCTATTACAACTTCAACAGAAGCACATTACCTTGGAATATGCGAATGCAAATGAGAGCCATACAACAGATTTTATTTCTCTAAGAGTCGGATTCGTCTACGGAATGGTATCTGTATGCATGCAATTAGTGAATCCACAGCTTATCGGTATTAAACGGTAAACGCCAAAGGGTAGATTCATTCACTTTTCACCATCGTTACCAACACAATGTTAGGTGTTTTTCGTGTAACTGTAACGGTATATATGGAATATATACGAATTGTACATGTCAAGGCATGTCAAGGAACTTAACCCGAAGTTTCTATTATCTCCGAAGACGCTTGAACCGACAATTACTATGAATGATATTGACCATAATTCCAAAACACAAGGACTTGTAATAAGTTGTATTGTTCGGCAATTAAAATCAATATCGGTACAAAGTATATAAAAAATGTTTTACAAGGAATGTATCGTACTTTTATTCGTATTCTTCCGCCTTCTTCCAACTTGTACACGACTGAATCATTCGCACCTTCGAGTTGCTCGCCCGTGTGCGTCGGTGGCACAGTGGTTAGGACTCTCGCCAACCGTGCACATGGTCCAGGGTTCGACCCCCTGCCGACGCACACTTGATATCTATGGTTGGCCTGCAAAATTAGGGCTACCGATATCACATGCTGAAAATTCCATACTTGTACCAAAAATATGGTGTGGAATCAAGCTGTAATCAAAAAAAACATTGCGACCAAGGCCAACGAACCACCGTTCAATGTTCACATTAATTTACAAGGTATGTCTAAGATACGTATGTTATTTGCGAAAGTTATAAAATCGGAATCCCTGCGGGGATTAGGTATTATGTTACGCGTGCTTATCCACCGCCTACTTCGACAAGCTGTACCAGTAGAACTGTGTTTAGACTCAGAGTGACCAAATTAAAATGTGTCACCCCACCATGTGAACCCACCAACTTCTGATCAGAGTTGCTTTTTTGGAGTTCATGTGACCTATAATGAGCCTGTGGCTCAGAAATAATTTCAGTAGATTGGGTATATTCATCTTAGTCTTAACTGTAATATCACATTTGCTGATGTATTGTGTCTTTTCGTCTTTCATTTCTAAGTATCTCACAGTTCTTGGCTGTACTGTTTTTTTATTTCTGACTACCTTTTTGTTGTCTTCTATCTAAAATACTGACGTGAGATTAAGAAACGTAGACCAGAATGAATCGGTTCAAGATCTTTCGTTGACTAACTGACTGACTGACTGACTGACTAACTGACTGACTGACTGACTGACTGACTGACTGACTGACTGACTGACTGACTGACTGACTGACTGACTGACTGACTGACTGACTGACTTACTGACTGACTGACTGACTGACTGACTGACTGACTGACTGACTGACTGACTGACTGACTGACTGACTGAAACTAGATCCATCAGGTGATTTATCTCTGAAGTATCAATATTCTTATTTCGCTTACTGATTATCACTTCACCCCCATTTTCCATATAAAATAAAATGCGAGCTAAAGTTGCGTTTCCATTCATCTATTCTCATGACAGCTCTCTGTTCACACATCAAAGGTTATCCCATCAAATTAACCTTGCACATTTAAGTAAACACATTTCTTCAGTATCGTGAAAATGCCTTGTGGCAAAAACACTTACAAGACGGTAGTTGACATATCAGCGTCACATCAGTCTAAAACAATGACACTTCCGCTTCAAATCAACACTTAAGTTGGTAAGGGCCTCTATGACTGACTGTAAGGGGATTACTGCATTCTCTCTAGCATAATATATATTTTGCTCATTCAAATATTGGTTAAATATGTGAAGAGTATAGAAAGCTTTTCAATTAAATCACCCAGCTTAGGAAACACAACCACACCAAAATAGTATTTCCCCGTATTCAGTAATCCACTTTCCAAATTACTTCATTTAGATGAATGCAATACAACACATGAAGCATTTCCTGTAACCTCTTAATCAGATTTTTCAATAAATTTAACGTGGTAAAGTATAACGACAGCGAATTTGAATTAAAAAACCCTAATACTTGTGAGTAGAATCATTTCGAAATTTTACTAATATATTTTGGTTAAATTACTCTTTCCCCAATTTAGATAATCTAACCAATTCAATGCATCATTATCTCCATGAAGATTCTTCATCGAATGAAAATAAGAAAGAAATCACTCCTTCAGAATATGGATTATTATTCGGTTTAGTACTGGCTATTCTGTCTTTCCTAACAGCAGCTACAAGTGTACTTTATATCTTCGCGCATAAATGGTGTCCAATTATTTTAAAATTTCTGCCAACTAAGTCAATAAAATCAACCAATCACCTTCATCCAACATCAGTTAAATGGTTGAAATGTAAACAGAATGTAACTAAATGTCTTACATCCAATCCTTCAACATTAGATGTGAATTCAGTGAATCAATTTATGGAGTATAAAAGTGAAGTCGTTCACTCAGCAGCAAACCATTGCCAACCTAATCTACAATCGAACTGTCAGCAGTCGCTACACTATGACTGTGTTAGTCTGGTTCCAATAAATACTTCTGAAGATAGTAAAAGTATAATACCAATGAATCACATCTATGCAGATCATACTATGTATCCACGGGTAAGATCACCCTCTTACCGAGCATGTAAGCATTTTTTTGGCTAAATTAAATAATCTAATGTACACTTTAACTACTTAGAAGTAGTATGAATTATAAGTGACAATTTCCTTCGGTTCAAATTTGATTAGTATTCCGATGAAGTAGCGTATACGGATCATTCGTTCTCAAAGAAACCAAGCCTAACTTCCTCGCTTGACTAACCACTTCCATCTGTGCATGTTCATGCCAGTTACTGATTCCCAAAACAACGCATTCTGCCTCTATTCGTTATTATTAATTATCAACTTTATAGATTGTGATAGAGACTCGTGTTGGAGTAGGCTAAGTGATTCTACAAATCATAAATTGTGATAAGTACACTCACTCGAAACGGCGAAAGATTTGTTCTCCTCACCCTTGAACAAATAAAATAAAGGAGAACAGCCTACAGATATTTCACTGAAGGTATCTGCATATCTTCAGGTGTGAGGCTAGCAACCGCACCCTGTAAACAAAGTCTCTACAGAAACTTCACCACGATGAATCTCTTTGCACCACAAGGAAAAGTCTGTGTGGGGACATGGAACGTCCGCACCATGTACGAGATTGGAAAAGCTGCCCAGATCGCAAACGAGATGAAAAGATACGGAATCCAAGTACTGGGAATATGTGAAAGTAGATGCAACGGGAATGGACTCACCAAATTGTCAACAGGTGAGTCAGTGATCTACTCCGGTCACCCAGAAGATAACCACACGCTCACCGAAGGCGTGGCTATCATGATGTCACCAACGGCAACGAAGGCCCTGATGCAATGGAAGGCGATCACGTCCAGGATAATGACCGCCATATTCAACTCCAAAGGAAGGAAAATGTCAATTTTACAATGTTATGCATCCACAAACAACGCAGACCTCGAAAAGAAAGAAGATTTCTACTGACAACTACAAGCAACAATGGACAATACTCCAGCTGGCGACATGAAAATACTAATGGGAGACATGAACGCCAAACTGGAACCAGACAACACAGGAAGGGAACTCATCATGGGTAGAGAAGCTATCGGAGAAATGAATGAAAACGGAGAACTCTTCGCCGACTTCTGCGCCTTCAACGAACTAGTGATTGGTGGCAGTGTATACAAGCACAAAGATACCCACAAGGCTACATGGGTGTCACCAGATGGGCAAATCAAAAACCAAATCGACTTCATGTCAATGCTGCTCAAGGAAGTGGAGGCGCAGCCTACTGGACACAAAAGCAAGAAGAGGAGCAGACGTTGGCTCAGACCACTATCTCTTACAAGGGACAATCCAAATCAAATTAAAAGCTTTCAGAGAAGGAGGAGCTGCAGATAAACCACAAGCTAAGTTCAACACTCAAAAACTGAAGGACCAAGTTACAAAGGACATCTTCATTGCAAGCATAAAGGACAAAGCCGAGACACAAATCAACACCAGCGAAAAGGTCAGCGTCGAAAAGCACTGGAACAACTTGGAAACGGTGTGGAGTCAAACCTGCATAGAAGTTCTAGGCAAAAAGAAGAGATAGGACAAACAGTGGCTCACTACGGACACTTGGAAACTAATAGAAGAGAGAAGGACAGTGAAACAAAAGATTATCCAGTGCACTGACGAGCAACAAAATTAGGAGCTGAATGCAAGCTACAATACACTGAACAAAAGAGTGAAGAAGAGTGCCAGGGAAGACAAAAGAAAATATTATGAAACCATGGCAAACGAAGCACTGGGCTGAACACTTCAAAAGACTTCTAAATCGACTGCCACCTACAACACGCCCAACAATACCAACAACGGAAGCAGAACTACCAGTGAACACTGACCCCCAGACGAAATCAGAAGTCCTGAATGCCATCAAGATGCTAAAAGCTGGAAAAGCAGCAGGACTAGATAGAATCCCAGCAGAAGCTTTGAAAATGGACCCAGAGACGACAGCGGAGTTGATGGCGCCACTGCTGGAGAAGGTGTGGAAGGAGGGAAATCTACCCCAGGATTGGAAGAAAGGATACTTATTCAAACTACCAAAGAAAGGAGACTTAAGTCAATGTAAAAACTGGCGCAGAATTATGCTACTGTCCATTCCAAGCAAATACTAAGTCGAATCATCCTGGAGAGAATCAAACAAGCCAATATGGATGAGAAACTTCGTCCGGAACAGGCTGGATTCAGGAGAAACAAGTCATGTATTGATCAAATCGCCACTCTACGGATCATCATTGAGCAAAGCTTGGAATGGAAGTCACCTCTCTACCTCACTCAACTTCATCGACTTTGAAAAGGCCTTCAACAGTCGGCGTCGATCGAGAGGTGATTTGGCAACTACTTCACTACTACGGGGTGCCATCGTCAATTATACATCTCATCCAACAGTTATACGACAATGCTGCATGCCAAGTAATCCACAACGCGAAACTTACGGAAGCCTTCGAAGTGAGGACGCGAGTGAGGCAAGGCTGTCTACTATCACCAATGATTTTCCTGATTGCAATTGATTGGATAATGCGACAGACAACGGGTAATGAGGAAACAGGCATAAAATGAACTCACACAAAATACTTGGAGGATCTGGACTTCGCCGATGATATATTTGTCCGATTTCCCACAAACTGGAAGATATGCAAGTGAAAAGCAACAAGCTGGCAAAGAAGAAGCATCAAAGATAGGACTTCAGGTGAGCATAGATAAAACAGAGGTGATGAAGATTCCTGGCCAACACCAACAACAACAACAACAACAACAGACAACAATCAGCCAGCATAAGTGGGAGAAACCTGAAAGAAACAACCTCCTTTACTTACCTACTAGGGAAGCATGATTTCAACTACAGGTGGAACTGACGAGGATACCAAAGCAGCGAGGATCGGGAAAGCAAGACAAGCCTTCATTGCTCTCAAGTCTGTGTGGAGGTCAACAGCACTCAGCATGAAAATGAAAGTAAGATCCAGATTTTCAACTCCAATGTGAAGTCAGTGCCACTTACTATTCGGATCAGAGGCTTGGATATCACGTCATAAAGAACATCTCAAACAAACTTCAGACCTTCATTAACAGTTGTCTTCGCTCAATACTCAAGATCAGATGGCCGGCCAGAAAAGATAAGCAACAGGGATCTCTGGCAATGAGTGAACCAACTCAGCAGGAACCGATTGTGCAACAAATAGGCAGGAAGAAATGGAGATGGATTGGCCATGCTCTGAGGAAACCATCAAGTGACATCACTAGACAAGCTATTGCTCGAGTGGAACCCGAAAGGGAAGTGGCGAGTTGGTCGTCAGTACGAGGATGGCTTGGAGGAGGTCATGTGAAGAGGAGACGAAAGCGTGTGGGCAGACTTGGAGTCAGGTGAAAACTCTAACAGAGAACCGAACGCAATGGAGACGCACGGCTGAAGCCCTATGTTCCTCTAGGAATTAAGGGATATAATAATAATAATAATTTGCATATCTGTTATTTTTGTTAAAATCAGGTTTTCTTACGTGAGCTTCCGTTTTTAACCGATATACGGCATCATCAATAATATTGACGCAAAGGTACGAAACCACCAGTGAAGCTGTGGTGACACTGTTGTGATTTTTCTGCCTCTTGAGATTTGGTTTTGATTAACTTTATATGAGGCACCACTGGAGATTATAAGGAAACTAATGTTGGACGATAATTACAAAAAATTAGCGGAGCTAAAGAGTGGTAAGAAGATGTGCAGCTGGAGGTCTAACTGTTCACCACTATGTAAAATATCCAGAGGATACTTTGTATATACACAGAAGTTAGCCGTTTGGAAATATAAGTGATTTCAAGCTGAATTTAGTCGCCAACTGACGTCATTGGGAAAATTAGAGAAAAAACCCCTCAGATGTTAAATACAAATTTTTGCATTTCCATTTTGGATCCTACAGCATAATATACCTAGGTTACTTGAGGAGTAAAGCCTTCATCAAATGAAAACGTTAATCCCTTCCGAGCCCAAGTGGAACTTAGACGTTTGAAGTAAAACCTTACACTGGTGGGTCACTAGGCTGGTAACCAAATTTTCTTATTCCTTTGTGTTCCCAGTGCAACATAGGGCTTCAAGCTACAGGCTTGAAGTTTCTGTAGCAGGGGTGTTTATTTTTAAGGGATGGAGTTGCTAGCCTCATGCCCAGCATTCCCTCTTTGCCAGTCCTATTACTGGCTTAGCGAAGGGATTGAACCCCGAACCACCTGAATGGCTGGCAAGCATTCTACCGCTGCGCCACCGACGCACCAGGTAACCAGTGTTATGTGTTTAGCCCTCAATTGCCGTATTGACCAAATTCTATCAGTAAAGTTTTCAATGTAGTCACACAACTATAGGTGATGCACTATGAACTGAAACTACATGACTGGAGGCAGTCGTTATGGGTCAATGAAAGTAGGTTTTCTTCTTATCGGGACTAGTCAGTGAAGTGTATTTACAGCTTTAAAATAAAATGACATTCTTTTGGAGACATTCCGTGCCGTAGTCAAAGATTTTAACATGTTACCGAGTAGGAGACTTAATTCGAAGGCTTTTAAGCGATTGCCTTTAGCCATTTGACAATCAAATCATTTTTGCAACTGTTTTAGCTCCCAGGACATAATTCCTTTTGAAATAAAATAGTCTTAACAAGTTAACTCAGTTATAAATATCCCGATCGTGGATACTGCGAATTTCCTGGAATAATCTGAGTTATCGAGTCAGATCAAATCATTATTTTAAGCAGTTTTATAGAGTTAACTTAATACCTTATTTTTTAAAATTTGTTTATCATAACTGAATGAACTGCTGAAGGAACAGATTTCAAATTCCAGGCTACTAGTCACTTGACTCCTCAAAAGTAGAAGAGGTTACAGAACAAAAGAAAGTCTAACATAAAGTCCATAAAAAGAATGAAAATAGGACATTGTGTACATGAATGAGTTTGATTATTTTTCTTTTGATTACAGCTTGATTACAGCTTGACCCCCACACCGTACTTTTGGTAGAAGTATGGAGTTTTCAGCGTGGATATCGGTAGCCCAAATTTCGCAGGCCGACCATAGATATCAAGTGTGCGTCGGCGAGGGCTCGAAACCCCGGACCATGTGCATGGTCAGCGAGAGTCCTAACCACTGTGCCACCGACGCACAGAGTTACGACTTGAAGAAAGTTTGAAACTGATTATCTTGTCATAATTGGTCTGATATTTATACAAGCATTATATGCTTTGTTTCTGAAGGAAACAAGGTATGTTATTCAGTAGTCGTAAAGGCTAAAAAGATTATTCACCTTTGTTCAAACTATTACTCTTGAATTTCTGGTTGCCTGGACCGAAATGTTCGATCTCTGTCAAAACGTTGCCTTTCTTACAGTTTAATTCTTTGATAATGACGTAAGGTTAACATGATATTATTTGTTTAATGGTGGCTATCAGTAGAAACTGTGAGAACACCGTCAGTCACTGGACACTCTGCTATAGTCAACCAACAGGTCCCAAACAGGGGGAAACTCACCTCATGGATTCCATTGCTAGTCATCGTCAGACAAACAATATCATCAACTGCTTACCTTTTTTTGGTAAATTTATGGTGCATTAATGTTGTTTATCTCAAGTGCTTGTCATATATGCTCTTATCATCATTAGCAGACCCCACAAATAGTTCATAATAATAATAATAATTTTTCCTTCACGTTCCCAGTGGAACATAGGGCCCCAAGCTAGTGGCTTGAAGTTTCTGTAGCAGTGTTCATTTTTAATTTTACAGGATGGGGTTGCTAGCCTCATGCCCAACTTTTCCACTTTACAAGCATTACTTCTGGCTCAGTGAGGCAAAGGAGTGCGCCGGCCGGGGACCGAACCCCGGACAATGTGCATGGTCGGCAAGCGTCCTAACCGCTATACCACCGACGCACACAAATAGTTCATAGTTAGTATGTATAATGCATTGTAAGTATCCTTCTTTATTCTGACTTGTAATCATTAATCTTATTGACTTATTGACATAACTATGTATTATCATTTGTATTTATTAATTCAGATTACATTGATAAAAGAAAAAGTTATCATTTCAATGATACCAAATTCCTCCAGTCTACACATCATTCCAATATGAACTTTCTCAATGAACCAGATTCTCAAATCAATGTACACAATCAAATGAACCGAATGAATACTATAAAATCACCATTCTATCTAACACATAGTCATAGTATGCAACTTATTAATGATTTACAGAATTTTCAACAATCTATTAATCAGCTAACTCATACCTCTTGTAATCCTTTCAACCTATTCAATCATCAATCAAAAATGTTGATTACCACAAGAGATACATTTCATACTTCATTTATAGATCGATCATATCTTCCTGAAGGAAATGTGTTAACCTCAACAGAAACAGACACAAATACTGTTCAGCCTTATTTTTCAGTAGCTTTATCAACTAATACTATAGATGATAATCATTATTTAACTCCTTCTAACAGACAAAGTACAACACACACTCTCCTGCCTACCTCTTCATTTTCAGTTTGTGATACAATTAGGAATTCTGATGACTATATGTTTTTACAGCCAGTCACTTATGATTCAGTTAAACATATGTATGTGTAAATAAATAGATAGATGGAAAAATAATAAATAATAATATGTGATAGCAATGTACATTAACTATTTCGCCTTTATTGTACGCACGAAATGAATGTATGTATGTATGTATTAAGGCATCAACGGACAAATCCGAATCTAACACAATCGTTATTTATTTATTACTTGCCTACTTATATACATATAAGTAGTATATTTTTAAAATTTAAAATAACATTTATACAGGAGAATTCATACTTGCAGCTGTTATTTTCTTTTTTCAATTGCATTTGTTGTTTTGTCTCTCCTCGATGGTGATTTAGGCCACGTTTTTACAAGCGGATGAATAAATTATAGAAAATTTTCATTTGCGTTCGTTTCTATTAAATCATGAGGGAGAAATTCCTTACTTCTTATTATCGGTTATAAACATATTAAAAGCCTATTCAGTCTAAATGCAAAATACTGATAAACAGACTTACTGTAATTTATCTACGTAATAGTGTAAAGCTAGACTAGTTTTGAAAGGTTATTTCTGTAGCTTTCGAATGGATGAAGGCAAATAGCATCGTTAACACATCTGTTGGAAAAATCTTGCTGTAAGTGTTACATGGCTACAGTTAAAATATATTTGATCCTGTAGTGTTCTTTTGTCTGGATGATTTAACTGCAAGACTTTTAGACAACATCTTCACGGCTAATTTGTCAATGAAATTAAAATGTAGAAAAATCTTAAAAGACTGATTAATGAACAAAGAATATTCTTATCGATTAATTCATCATCACGTTCAACTATAGTAATTAAATAAATATTGTTATTAACAATATCAGTGTTAACAGTTTTATATTGGACCACCTGGGGTAAATACACCACGAAGCTAAATTGAAGAATCTTTCTCTATCATCTACTGGTTATCAAATAATTTAACAAAGGCTCTAGATGTGGAACACTCCAAATAGTAGGGGCCATTGAAAATCGTCTAAATCAACCGGAGTTCTGTATACAAAAGAAGCACGTTCAACAAGTACTGCTACTCTGGCCTGCTGTCAAGCCTATGAGCTCATAAATTCTGTGTTGCCTCCTTCAACTTACCTGTGCTATATTGATGAGTATTAACTCTCTCTCTCTCTCTCTCTCCCTCTCTTATCGATGCTTCTGAAATGTAATCTCTCTATGCCAGTGATTTAATGTAATTTGAAACACGGATATTATTCATAACAATATTTCTGCAACTTTTATGGTCGTACATATATATAGAACTTGATGACGAACTCATCGAAAACAATGTTTTTTTACAGAATTTCATCATGAGCTGACATTAGTTAGAGAACCATTGGAAAACATGGCAGTACTGGACAACTGTTTCGTCCTAGTTTGGGACTCTACAGGCAGCAGTACGCTTGTTATTTCTGAAAGTGTAATAGTATTGTGTTTTTCATAAGAAACAATCATATTCTACAGAATCCATACGCAAATAACTTAGCCGAATTCCAGAGTAAGAAGCAGATGGATAGTCCCTTTGAAGTCTTAGTTAGTTATATTGATTGTCTGATATTAAGTAAATCAACTGTGTGACCGTAAAAACTCATTTTGCATAAGAAGATTGTTCAGATTAACTGTAGTTGGATAACTGACTTAAATAAGTCGGTAAATTCACATAGGCTGCATTGACTCCTCGTAAACTACTAATAAAAATTCAGCAAGTTGTATATTAACGGCAAAAAATTTCCATCCCGCTTTCATAATCCTGATTAATACTTATTCTTCAGGTGTCAACAGGGATTTCAGTAGACATTAACTCAACCCAAACTACTTAGTTTTGAATTCTAATTTTAGAATTTGTGAAACAAAAAGATTTCCTCTTTAACGGATATACAGCTCTTTCTGAATCTGAAAATTATATCTGGATAGTCTTGGAGATAATTCACTTTATCCTGTGAGATTCTTTATGAGCCCACGTTCGAAATCAAACGTAAAATCAAGCAGCCACTTCAAAAGATCATATACTATAAAAATGAGGCTGATTCATCCTGACAAGATATACAAACAGGAAATCACTGGTATGCATGAGTAATCTATCGTACTCATTCCAGAAAGAGACTGATTCCTGATGTGTGAAAATATTGTTATTGAGTCTGGGTCTTAAGGGATGAGGAGGTTGAGGAAGCTATTACTCATTCGAATGAATATAATCCCGCAAAATGCATATACTGGTTACCATCAGGCAGGTATCTAGGCCATTTAAAGTTTGTGTACTATTATCCTATGCCCAGTGAATGACACACATTTTTCTCCTGGGTTATTTCGAACAATTTCCTGTTTACCTTTAATCGGTAAAACAAGACACTTCTGGGTGGGTGGTCAAGGCCTGGTAGATATTAAACAAATGAAAAAGTATACCACAGAGAGAATGAAAACTAAGTCTTAGTTCTACTATTTCGTCAAATGGTTGGAAAGGCAGAAATATAAAAAAAGCCCGCAAATGGAAAGGCAGTAATCTCTCCTATAGTAATTTCAAGATTTGTGAAAGCTGTGCATATGTGTGTATATTCGTTTATCAAAGGGGAACACAAATATGATATATTGATGTATTAGGTAGTAAAGACATTCGATAAGTATGAAAATGACTCTGGAGAACAGTTTGTGTGTTGTATATGTGTATAATAAACCCACACATAAATGGTTAACAATATATGTCTTAAATCTGCATCCAGCAGCTGTTCACGTATTTCAAACTGCCCTCGTCTTTATCTGTGCCTTTTTTACCGCATATTTTTCTCAATGATCAACTGTTGAATATTTATTAATAATATACGACATTTTAAATATCTATTCACATAAATATTTCTGAGACTATTTAATGTCTACATGTGTGCACATACTTCTACCTATGGGTGCGTCATGCAAAAGCCGAAGATAATTACTTATTTACAACCACACACACATACACACTCACAGAGTTAACTACCGTCAACTGACTCACATTCACAAGGTATATTTCACCAGATCTTACTTTTACCCTTACATCTTTTCCATGGGAATCCAATCTCTCTCTTTTATCACAATTATAAATCTCTTTTCTTTTTCAAGAAAATTCAAATGTGTGCTCGCAGCCTTGGCGCCATAATACTTTAATTTTAATTCATTTAAACTAATATCAACTACAAAATTGGATGTCTGCATGTGTGCGTCTGTGGTTAAGCATATCTACCGTGGAATACCATTGAACCGCTCACCGTTATGATTGTTGATATCAAAGTCTCTGTTGAAAGTGATTCAGAAGAAGAGCAGTAAGCGGTCAGGGGAAGCAGCCGAACGTAAATAACATTATTTAATTAAGTGTATGTCCGTCGGTATATGTATTTGTATGTGTGTATGTGTTTATGTGTGACACTGTACTAACCTCATCAGATAAATACATCACCGAGTCTTACTGTATGTAGCAAAGTCCGTTGTACAGCTGTTTACACACAAAAGCCACACAGTGTACATGATCACAAATACAATACAAAAGAAGAAATACATACAAAGAGAGTAAAAAAGGGTAATTAACTTTATAAATAAACAAATAAGTAAATATAAACTGAAAATAAAGCGAACAAAAGACATTTTTGTAAGACACCCTGAGTTTTATTTTTTTTTTTACTGGCTGTTGTACTTTATTATAATTAGTATTTTTATTATTCCTAAGACTAGTAGAAGAGACATAGGATAGGATATTCTCCTCCTTCGATTGTCATTTTAGTCTTGCCTTACCATACCAAGTTGAAATATTCCCACTATCTTTCCTCTCTCTCTCTCTCTTTGTTAATTAACAGAGCGATGAGCAGTTAGTTCACTAGCCAGCTATCTATCCAGCCAACCCGCTAGAAATCTTCCCCAACATAAAAAAATACACATAAATATTCCCCTATTCAATTTACCTGTTGATTTGTCGTTGTTATCATTATTGTTGTTGTTGCTGTTGTTTTGGCTTATATGAATTTGACTAAATTGTCGAACTATTGTCTCGTGCTACTAAAATCACTATTTAAGTAGTAATAAGAATAATCGTTAAAATAAATTGCTATCTTCCTTCTGATACACATAGGACAATGAATGGCATATAAGAATTATTATAAATGTCTAACAAATAATTTAACTAGTATATACTAACTACTCTGTCTTGTATATGTTGTATATACAATATCAATAATTAATTTTGATTCTTTTTTCTTCGTGAAAATAAATGTCAAAATGATATTACCAGTGAAATAAATAATAATAAATTCATATTATATATACAAATACAATTAAGATTACGTTAAAGATAAGTGTATGATATTTATGTGCAGAAAATAGATTACTGTGTATGTATCTGCTGTGAAGCAAATGTGTAATTGATTTTTGAAGTATAAGTAAAGCAACAAAAAAAAAGGATTCATTGTAGAAGCACACTGTGTGTCTACAGCTTAGATAGTACAGTTTTAGGCATTTTCACAAAATGTGATTCTAACAAAAGACGCTTTTTCTTTCTTTAAAGTGAACATTATTTGCGTTGTCTGTCATCTAATTTAATGATTTGCCTACTGGAAAGCATAAGTTATCTGCGACTACATTAATCTAGAGTATCCATGACCAAGACACTAAACCATTATTAGTATTAACCCCGTAGGTTCTGAATGTGACATAGGGCTTCAACAAAACATCTCCATTTCATGCTTCCCTCTGCAATCGTCTTTAGCAGGATCAATGATTGATCATAAGTTGTTATTGCCTCCATTTCACCCTTGGACCATCAGTTAACTCGTTGTTTTCCAATTCGGGTTCCACTCGAGGTTATTTATCCCTAATGCGTAGCGTCACTCAACGATCTTCTCACAGTGCATCCAATCCACCCCCATTTCTGTAGGTATATGAGTTGAAAAATAGATTTTCGGTTTGTTCCCTCCCAGAGTCCCTTGCTGTCAATCCTTCCTGACCAGCCATTTCATCGTCAGTATCGAGAGAAGGTGACTGTCTATAAAAGTCGACATTAGCTTGTTGA